AAAATTGGTATTGGCAAATTAATTAGTATTGCCCATTGGCAAAATTGGCTCTGAATTGCATATAGCTATTTCAATTAAGGTTGTCCCCCGAGCAAAGCGGAAAAGTCGAATACGAGCGCGAAAGGCTGCTCGGAATCGCTAATAAATTTAATATTAGCGATTCCCAGCAGCCTTTAATTCGCGCTCGTATTCGACTTTTCCGCTTTGCTCGGGCGACAACCTGAATTGAAATAGCTGTACTGTATGTGCCTGTATTGTTTGTGTCATATAGTGCAGTCTCCATGTCTGTAATAAGTTTAACTTGTATAAACGTATTTGTATGTACTAGACAAAGTTTAATAAAATAAGATCAAATAAATTATTAAAATTAAATTAATGAGCATCGTAGTGTAGTTCACTCAATGCTGTCGAGAACAAATTGTTACTGGGGGCTGGGGGTAACTAAGGGGGTCCAGGAGCATGCTGCCCCAGAACTGCATGATGTTGCGTTTGCGAAGCCCCGATCGGAGGAGTATTTTCCGCCAGTTTCCTGAAAGGGGTATTTATCAAAGTAAATTTCTTGCACATTGCCGAAATTTCATGGCGTTTAATCATCTCAAAAACGGTGACTTGAATTACCTCCATCTCCTTCAATTAACTCCAAAACTCCTTTAATTAATTGAAATTCACTTGAGACTTTGTAATGTACTTTATCACGTTTCACAAATTTTGCGCGTCTTGTTTTGAAACGTCGTTTGCTCCGTGTGCAATCACAAGTATGAACGAATTGGTTTTGTTTTTATTGGCACTATACACACAATATCAATGTCACAGTAACAACAAACTGTTCTGGATAATAGAAGACTAAATTCCCCTTATTACGTTTTCGTAGCGCTTTGCATTGTGGTTATAGTGGTATCACTGATATTCAAGTTGGCTTATTTTTTGTCCTGACCCGTGCTAGAACTTTTAAAAAAGCTAGGATCAGGTGCGCAATAGCCAACAGCAAAATATTCGCGAAAACATTCAATATTTTCATTCGAGGCCGCTATCTTCATCAGTGATACCACTATAACCACAGTGCAAAGCGCTACGAAACGTAATAAGGGGAATCTAGTTTTCCCTGTGCAAGAACGAAGTAAAGAAAGAAAGAAAAAAATGCAAAAAGGAGAAAGAATTAAGCCAAAGAGAGAAACAACGACAAGGGGCCATTCACAAAGGATGTCCGACCAAATGATGGATTTTCAGACCCCCCTCCCCCCCTTGTCCGGCATTGTTTGAATTAGTGACCCCCCCCGGACACCCGCCATACCTCGCAAAAACTCGCGCAACCTTGTATATGTCAAGAGTAAAAAACTTTTTATGACCCTCAAATTTTTTTTTTATATTTAAAACTAGAAATAAAGTTTAAATGGTATACTATGAAAGCCCATAGAAAAGTATTTACATTTATGTGAGTTCGACATATGCTGTTGCCATGGTTACCAAGATAACAGCTCGACATGCCTTGCAGCGGACCATTGCGCCAACGATGATAACTCGAAAGCAATTTAAGATTTGTCTACGAAACTTTGGGAAAATAATAAGCACTACTAGACCCATGCAACGAACTAAAAGATTTTAAATCAGATGAATAGTTTCTAAGTTCTGAATGAAACAATATGTGTGCCTGAAATTTAATCATGATCAGCATGAATTTTTGCTTATAGCACAAAAAGTATTTGACCTAATGACTTCATTCTAGTTCATTGCATGGCTTTTGATGAAGTAAACATCCTCTGAAAATTTTAGCCACATCTGTTAAATTGTTTTTGAGATATCATTGTTGGCAGATTACAAACCTTGCGAAAATCGTTTATTGGAGAAAATAGAGTTTAAACTTTTCATACTATGTAATTGGCTACCAAAAACACTTCATGTCCCTAAAAGTCAATAGAACTCTCCAGCACCATACTTTACTCCCTCCTCCTGTTTGTTTTTGTCACACTTTTGTTTTTTTCAGTCCTCTCATCACTTTACGCCTCTTTTTAACTTCGGGCGTGGATTTGTGTTCTGCATGCGAAACTCTCAACTTGTCTTCAAGTTGACAAGCCACTTCTGTATACTTGCCAGGAGTAATATCCAGTAGTTCACTGGAAAAAGTTCACTGATTGCCTCTTTTGCAAAATGTAGTTAGTGACTCAGTGTCTCAACATCAAGAACTTTCCCGGTATCCATCGACATAACCGTAACACACCCGTTAGATGATGAATGTCCCCTTCGTTGCCAGGTACCGTCACATCAAATACCACAGTCTACAGGATTTGTTCCATCAACATCTTCATTTTGTACAGGGCGAAAAAACAGATTTGCACTAGGCTTTGCAACGTGGCAAGTGAGGTGGAGTTTAGAAGCACAATCTTTACGTTTGATACTATTTTCTTCCATTGTGTTGTATACATTCTGGGAAGCTGACAAATACGGAAAAAACATTTCCAATAAGTTCCATATCACAAAGCCTGAATCCATAAGTGCCTTGAGAACTTTTTGTTGAAGGTTTAGGGGTTCTTTTCTCACTGGAATTCTGCCGAACACGAGGCTGAAGCTTCCTGTAGGACACTGAAATTCCAGCTGGAATAGCGCCCACGTTGCCCTCATCAGCACTCAAAGAAACCTTGCTTTCCTCGTTATTTTCTTGCATTACTGGCCAGCGGCGGCGGAACAGATTTAGTTCTTGGGGGGCTAAATTTTTTCGGCGACCTCCCCCCCCCCACACCCCCCGTCGCCAAAAAAATTTCGGTCAGTGTACCACTTTAGGGATACAATATACAAAAAAAGGGACGAAAAAAATTTTTTCGGACTTATATCAAAAAAATTTTTCGGAAATACACTTTTTTTAAACAAAATATTGCAAATTAGTCCCCTTATACCTAAATTTTCAAAAAATAACCTAAATTTTTCCCTAATTATCAAATTGTTTTCAAAAAATTCAAATTTTCTGGGGGGCTAAGCCCCCCCCCACTTTTACTTCTGGGGGGGCTTTAGCCCCCTAGCCCCCCCTGTTCCGCCGCCCCTGTTACTGGCTCGCCCTCTCCCTCATATTCAACACGAGAACGTTTAGTATGTCGATTGGCACAAAATTGGCGTTTTTTACGCTTCTGTGTAGGAAATTTTCCCATTGTATTTTCGCAAAATAACTCTCGATCACAATGTTAGAAAGAATGTTGTTTTTTATTTCGTCTGCGCGTTTCGTAGGGGGCCTGGGGAAAAGCTTAGATTAGAGCCCAGTCTTCCCTAAATACCCCACGCTTTTTACCGAAAATTTTGTAAATAAATTCGCTTTTATAGGCAAAAAACAAATGGTAAACAAATCTGTTTCCATAGCAACGAGTGAACATCCAGTAAAAAACCCTTAAAATAAATACATTTTAGGCATAAAATCACGGAGAAAACAACATAGGAGTATATTTTGATAACATAGGCATCATATAAAACAAAAAAAAAATTAATTTTTTCAAAAATTTGAGAAAAATTTGAGGGTCATTCCACCGAAAGTCAAAATTAAACAATATATATATATATATGTGTGTGAACAGCATTGAGCATGCGGTCACAGAATAAAGACAAACAGAAGATCGATTTCTATGTTTTTCCTCATGATTTTGGCTTAACCGTAATTCGTGATCAAAATGCTGACGCCATTGTCCTAGCCAGGCGCTTATGAGAGGCATCCCCCCCCTGATAATATTCAAAATGGCTGAAGTCCAGGGGGTGAATGCCTCTCATAAGCGCACTGGATAGGACCATGGCGTAAGCATTTTCATGACGAATCATTGCGAATCATGGCGTGGCAGCGGTTACGCTTTTTTGCCTGTGTCTTTATTCTGTGATGAAGTGTCAATCCAGTTTATTTTAGCACATACAAGCCATTGTAATTGGTTTTAAGTGTCAGCCTCACTAGAAACACAGCGCTTTTATATCAACTCTGCTGACAAAGAGCCTTCCCAGTTGTTAGAGACTGGTCATTGCTTGTAGCGGGGACTTGCACCGAAGAGAAACGGGCTGGGTGAACAAAATTTTGAGTGAGTAAAAGATTGGGTAATTGAAAAACAAAACAACTCAAGGGTTGGATAATATGATCATTTTCAAAGCACGACTCACTCAAATATTGAAGACTAAAAAACAATGTCAACAGTCACATGTCAATACAATATGTAAATCAATCAAAGTCACTATCTTGATCATTTTCCGCAACCTCGTTCCCAGGGCTTTTCCCTTTTTGTCATTGGGAAGGCGGGAAAAGGCCCTGGCACCGGCCGGTCTTCTATGTATTCTGATTGGTCAATGACAAGTACATTATTATGCAAATAATGCAATCTTGGATTAATTTATTCAAACTTTGGGATAAATTAACATTAATAATAGTAGTAATAATAATAATAATAATAAACTTTATTTAAAGAAGGTGCAATTATACAAAAACCAGTTTAGCAACGCTAATCTTACACTGGGCCTTCTGTTCAACTGTTATCGTCTACTTATTACAAATTTACTATTAAAACTACACATTAAATTGGACATCAGTACAACAAGAACATATAAAAGTCGTACAAACAAATAACTTATATATAAGTATCTAAAAAGTATTTATAGGCTCTTATTTTAAAGGAGCTTAATGACGTTGATTGTCTGGTCGCACGTGGTAAACTGTTATATAATGTTGCACCACTGAATTTCAACGTTTTCTGCCTAATTGTTAGTTTCGTTCGCGGTATCCACAGTTTGTTGTTCTCTGAGCTTCTTGTAATTCGTTTTGTCACTGATGACTTTAAGACAAATAAGTCACTTATGTACTTGGGTACCCAGTTGTTTAATGATTTATATACCATTATTGCTGTTCGTAGCATTACTCTTTGCTGTATAGGCAGGACTCCAGCAGCTTTAAATAGTGGCCCAGAAGAGGTTAGCTTCGGTTTGTCGTAAATAATTCTCAGAGCTAACTTTTGGAGTTTATGTATGCGAATAATATGACATGATTGTCCTCAAACTGTACAGCAATAATCTACATGAGGTTGTAACAAACACTTGTAGTAAATTACTCGGTGACCAATAGGCAAATATTCTTTGATCTGTCTCAGAAGATGAATTCCTTTAATTAGAGATTTTGCTACTTTGTCAATCTGCTGTTTCCAGGAAAGATGTTCGTTCATAACAACCCCAAGTATTTTCTCATTGTTGGTATTCTTTAACTGGACACCGTTAAATTCTACTCGTAGATTTGAATTTAATGTGGCTGCGCGCTGAGATGTTGTTATCATCATTGCCTTCGTTTTACCGTCATTTATTACCATGTTGTTGTTAGTACACCAAGCTTGAACGTTTGTCATATCCTCAGTTAATTTATTATTGAGTTCCTCAACTGTTCTAGCACTTGTATGGATTGTCGAATCATCAGCATACATGTCTGTGTTGGAATTGGCATATAATGGAAGATCATTGACAATAAAGGTCCTAGAATACTTCCTTGGGGGACACCATACAGAGAAGATTTCTTAGATGACAAAGTTCCTTTAAAGTGCACACATTGGTCTCTTTCTTGCAGGTATTACTTAAACCAGGATAATGTCAAATCATCACATTTGTAAACTGCAAGTTTTCGTAATAACAAATCTGTATCTACCATGTCGAAAGCTTTGCGTAGATCAATAAATACTGCCCCATTTATGAGGCCGCTCTCCATGTTGGATGTCCACATATCCACAAGTTTGCATAGCGCTGTTTCACACGAGTGATTTCTTCGAAAACCAGATTGGGCATGATGTAATAAGTTATGACTCACGAGAAACTGGTAAAGATGATTGTGAATATGACGCTCGAGAACTTTACTGACAGCGCAGAGTATGGCTATGGGCCTGTAGTTGTTGACATCACATTTGGCACCAGATTTGTAGATTGGGATAATTTTTGATGTTTTCCATTTTGTCGGAAACATTCCGGATGATAAACTTTTATTGAAAATCTTAGTCAGAGATGGAGCTATTAAATAGGTTGACATCTTCAAAATCTTGTGACTTAAGCCATCAAGTCAAACAATAATTTCATGCAAGGAGTGATCATTATTAATACTTTGTCCAACTTTGTCCGTCTAAGAAATATTTTTGGCAAAATCTGTGGCAAAATGGTTAAATTCGTTAAGATTTATACACAATTTGTCGAAGGTTAGTATTATTGTTTGTTTTAAACTGTGAGAGAAGATTAATTGTGTACTAGAACACACCTCTGAGGCTCTGACCGAGTATTTAGGGCAAAATGTGCCTTCATATTTGGATTTGTATAGCGTTTAATACCGTTTATAATGTTTATATTTATAAAACCAAAGTCTGGGTTTGTAAACTGAAACACGACCTTTAGTTTTTGATATTCTTCATAGTCGAGTTTAAATTGGCCTAATTTATAATTAGTTGCCACTGGAAATGCGACGATATTTTGTTATATCATATATGCAACTTACAGTGTTTACAACTTTTGAATAATATGTGATTTGGTTTGTTTCAGATACTATTACATGTTGCTTCATTTTACCATAAATTGTGTTAAAAAAATGATTTGCTCATTTGTCTGATGTTACAGTTTTCTGATGTGTTTTGTTTGGATAACATTAGAACAATTTCAATATGAAAGGGCCATTCCATTTAATGTACACACCCCCCTGTGGACGAAGTCAATAAAATTTGAACCCCTAAGAAAAAAAGATCAAAGTGCCGATACAAACACCCCTTCAGAAATTAAGAAATTTTTGCCTTACCCCTTGGAAAAAACGCAAAGATCAAAGGATGCCGATGCACACAACCCCTCAGAAACGGCTTTTTCAACCCCCCTCGGAAATTTTCGTCCACAGGGGGGGGGGGGGTGTATATTAAATGGAATGGCCCAAAGTGCAGGTGTCTTTAGACATGAGCCATAATGTACATATCAAAATACTGATAAAATCCGTTTCCAGCTTGATTGTATTTGCATTTGTTGTATTTGCATTGTTGCAGAGAAAGTTGTGCAATGGTGGACTTATGTCACATACTCGTATGTAATTCCATGTGCCTGCATGTACAGTACTTTGGTGCCTCAAGAGATGCTTCAAATGTGTAATAAAGGGCTGTTCGCAGGAGTTGGGCTGTCTGGCCTTAAATTGCATTGTTTTTATGATATTTTAAGATTGTATTCATGTGGCTGAACCATCTTGCCATTGCCACAATGTCTGATGTTCAAACAGGCTTTAAAATCAGGTTACAATGCATGCTTGAAAATATGCAACAATTTCACTGCTAATAATATTCCAGAAAATCCTGCCTCTTGGGCAGATCTGGACTGATTTGTCAGAGGGGGTTGGAGGTTTTCTACTTGTGATCGGGCAAGGGGAGCTAAGCCAAGGGTGCTGGGTCAGAGTCAAACTCATGTGAACAGCTTCTAAGTCCTAATTATATTGATAAATTATGTACACTTTGGGATGGTAATGCAATTTGTAAAATATTCCACATTTTATTTAATAAAATTTAATTATATACATTGTTTTTGTTGTTTATATTAACACCTTGGACAGTGTATATTTACACCTTTGGACCCTGTAAATAAGCACCTTTGGAGGGTGTACCCATTCTAAGCCAAAGACGTGTAAGAACAATTATCAAGGTATTTGCATGATAAAATATATTTAAAACTGCTCTCCATATACATGTAATGTATGGTTCAATTCTTGCTTTTACCAAGTAAACCCAGGGATTTTCAATGTCCCCCTCCTCCCGTAGAGTTCACTTGAAGTGACTGGGGCAAGGTAGCTATAAGTATAAGTAGTTATATTACTTTAATTAAAGTCAATTAAAATTTACAAATTGAGCTTTTTGAATATAGAGCATTGCAGAATTTTTAAAAATTTGTTTAACCCAAGTGGCAATGTCCCTACTTTAGTGTATTATTCCGTCTGGTGCCAGACAATTTTACTCAAGGGCAGAATGTATACTTGCCACAAGTCGACCTCGAACGAAACGTTGGCTCACACTCGCTGCTTGCGTTTCGTTTGAGGTCGACTTGTGGCAAGTCTAGGCAGAATGCTGCCACTCAATGAGTTAATATATTCTCAGAACAATTACCATCAAATTTAATCTATTTTGCTGGCAAAATTGCCTTGGAGGGGGTCCTTGATTTGTTGAGTTTTTCTTTTTTTTGGGGGGGGGTGAGTGTTGTAAAAAACAGAATAGCAACTGGTTTCAGAATAGGAAGAATTGTTGTAATATACAGTAGGTAATATAATTCTAAGACAAATCATCCAAAGGAAGCAATCATTCTAGCTCTTGTAGTGTGTTGCAACAGGGATGGATTTACTGCGGGGGGGGGGCTGTGCACTCCCCTAGCCCTGGCCAGAGTGGGTGCAGGGGGGTTATATTTTTCATGATAAAGCAAAAAATTATTACAGTCAAAATGAGATACAGTAATTTGAGTAATAACATGATGATAAGCGAGCTGTGAACAACAATTACAATAGTGAAGCAAGTTGATGGGCAGGCGGCACACATTACCGACACAACTCGGCACCAGAGCACCCTACCAGAGCACCCTACCAGATCATGCTGGATCCATCCCTGTGTTGCAAAATGTATTTTCTTCATAGTCGGGCATTCACATGAATAAAGATTAGAATTTCATCATGTTATATAGTCTTAAATATTTAGGAGGGGTCTCCATTATTAAATTAAGAGATCAAAAAGGGGTCCCAAGACATTTTGACATAAGAATCTCCCACCCCACCCTAGGGTATAATCAGGGCCGCCCAGAGGTTGGGGGGGGGGGGGCCCGGGGCCAATTTTTTTTTAGGGGCCCCTATCTAAAAAAATTTTCCCAGAAAATTTTTTTTCCCGATAATGTGCAGATGGTAACAGCAAGAATTGAAGCACCCTTATGAAAAACGTCTATAGGTGGCCTATAGGAAATGTTCCAATTCCCTATAGAAGCCAATTCCCTATAGAGCTCTATAGGATTATAGGCATCCCTATAGGTCACCTATAGAAAATGTTCCAATTGCCTATAAAAACCTATAGGTTTCCTATAGGAACCTATAGGTTGGCCTATAGGCCAAGCCTATAGACTTTTTTTGTAAGGGGCGTGAAGCAAGCTTTACTGGAGACTGGAGTACACACCAGTGGCGTAACGTTATATCAGGAGGCCCCCGGTTCAAAATTTTCGAAGGCCCCCCTAGTAGAAGTGCCAAAGGCACGAGTCGAGCGCCGTATATGCACGAGTTTTCTGGGGGGTCCAGGGCATGCTCATCCGGAAAATTTTTGAATCTAGACTCTCTGAAATGCGATTTCCTGGACTTTGGGGAGAGATTTTACAGAATTCTGATGGTCATAAAACGACATTATAACATATCAGAGGCCCTGACTAATGTTTTTGCTCTATCGCCTAAGCCTGGGGGCCCCCGTTTAGGTTAGGGCCCCCGGGTTCTCCCGGTCTGAGCCCATAGTAGTTACGCCACTGGTACACACTATTATTAGGAAGCATCAATTCGCACATGCTAATTTGCCAGTCATGATTTTAAACGGAATATTTCTTATCTCGTATAGAATTCTTAAGGTCTTGTTTACATTTTACTGGAAGCAAACTAAGATGCATATATCCAATATTT